TGTGTGTGTGTGTGTGTGTGTGTGTGTGTGTGTGTGTGTGTGTGTGTGTGTGTGTGTGTCTTTGCTCTTTGAAGATCAGACGATCACTAAGATCTACCAAAATAAAAGCTCATGTTGTTCTCGACCTCCATGTGACTGAGTAAATATTTAATTCATTTTCAGCAGAGAGGTCACAGAGGTCAAACGAGTGAGTGAATGAAGTGTTTCTGTTTCTTTTCTCCTTTTGGACGAAGAGCCAAACGTCCTGATGTCAGTGAAGTGGACTTTAAAATAATAATTTGATGTAATATTGAATTGAAGTTTTCAGACTAAATTTATCTTTAAATCAGACGAGTCCGTTTTTTCTTCCTTCATCTGTGTGTTTTTGTGTTTTTCAGTCCCTCCACGGTCAAATCGACTAAACGTGTGTAAACTTCTCTCAGTTCAAACTCACGACTCGTTCTTCACGACAGAGTGAACTCGCTCCTGGTGGGACTGGATGTATCCCAATGAAACAACACAAGTTCATTGAATCCTCTGTTTTTCTGCAGAACAAAGAAAACATTTCACCAAAAACAGCATCAACAGTTTGACGGACACGTCCCAGTATCACGTGGAGGTGAGACCACGGCTCTGTGTTCTGTTCGGAGTTCACTCCAGTGATTCATTGATTCATTGATTCATTGATTATGTTCAGCTGGATTCTCTTTATATCAGTTGTTATAAAGAGCAGAATACTGCAGGTCATGTTTTAACCGTGTTCACCTGCGTGACGTTCAGCATCTAACCACGTTCGTGTTGGACCGTAAAGACGGGTTGATCACCGTGGACGACGGGATCAGACGTCTCCGCCTGCTGGACGCTAAAGGGAAGGTTTGGACTCAGGAGATGCTGCTGCAGGTGGAGGAGAAAAGTGTCAGCCTCGTCGACCAGGACACCAAGGTCAGCGACACCTGAGGTTTCGAACCCACGACGCCTGACGAAGCCTCACCTGCGTTGTTTCTGTTTCAGAACGAGCTGGAGAACTTTCCCATCGGGACGATCCAGCACTGTCAGGCCGTGATGAACAACTGCAGCTTCGACTCCATCTTGGCTCTGGTGTGTAAAGAGTCGGGTCAAACCAAACCAGACCTGCACCTGTTCCAGTGCGACGACATCAAGGTAACCGGCCTCTGATTGGTTCTTTAACGTGTCACCGGGGAAAGAGATTAGAGCTCAGTCTCAAATCTTTGTGTTGGTTCTGTCTTCAGGCGAATTTGATCCACGCAGACGTAGAAAGTGCCATGATCGATGCCAAAGGAGGGAAAGTGAAGAAGAGACCGGAGACTCTGAAGTAAGAACGAGAGCTGTTATCAAACACTGTTTCTCACGCTGACTCCTCATTGGCTGATCCACCTGTCTGCAGGATGATCCTGAAGAGCGACGGGGTCATCCCACCTCCCCCGCCCGCTCCTGCCCCCCAACCCCCCGCGTCGTCCAATCAGCTGGACGTGAAGAGCAGAGCGGCCGCCTGGTCGGCCTGGACCAATGAGCAGCAAGACTGTGAGTGATGTCACTTTGTAGGAGGAGCATGTTTTTCTTTACTGTTGAATATAAAAAGCTGCTGTTGATGTAAAACTTTGATTAAAGTTGAAACAAAAGATTTAGAATTAAAACCTTTTTATTTAAAACCAGTTCATATTCAGATGGTTGATAATCACTGGTCTGTGTACAGCTGAGAGAATAATCCACAAATAAGAAAACAGATTTCATTCATGTGAAACTCAAGCTACAGT